AAAAAACAAATAGCCTATTCTCAGATTATGTAATCCGTATGAAACTTGCATGCAGGCGCATCCACTACTGTGGAGATGACGAGTCACTCCATTCATCTCTTTAGCCGAAATCACACAAAACACTAGTTTATCAATAGGTTATTAAAATGTTAATGCAGTTTAATCTTACTGTTTTTCCCTGACACATTCATCATCATTACTTCTGCCGGTGTGCTGTGGCAAGCTTTATGCATGCGCTTGAGCGCTTATTAGGCAATTTAGGCAATTAAAGGCTACATGCCTTTTAAATTTATTAATAAACGTGCGATAAGTCAACTAATGCTTAAAATGAATGACTACTAGTCGACGAGAAAAATCTTTAGTCGAGGGCAGCCCTAGTCCAGTCATATGGTGTATTTCTGTCAGGCCTCCACACAGAATATGATAAACCTGAAAACCAGCAACATATTAATGTGATCCTCAGAGCGCAAATTAACGCTTTGAACTACAAATTGCCTTCATCTTCAACAGACCCCCCCTCCACACACACACACACACACAAACACAGATCTTCTTACATCATCAGCAGAAGGGCGTAAGTGCGGGACTCAGAGAAATCGGGTGGATAGGCGACCTTCAGCGGCAATTCTGCAAAAACACATGAAGAATAGACCAAAGTTCTATCAAATATCTTCAAAGGTTTCACTACAGGAGATCCAGCACTTCCAATGCTTCACACAGTCTGCTGAAGCTGCTGAAATATGTTTATCAGCTGAATGGAGCAGTACGTTACCGAAGTGGTCGGTCTGGATGCTTCTGTACTCCAGCAGCTGGATTCGTTTGTATCTGAGAGCAGTTTTGAGCACAGAGTTATTCTCCAGGATGTAATAATCTGACGAGAGATCAACAGCACAAGGCGTAATTCAACACTGAGTTTTTAACGTAGGACATGGTGGACAGATGTATAGAAGGATAAATGAAAATAATAAATACTCACTGGCAGTGTTCAGAGAGTGTATGATCACTGTCGGCGCTCCTGGACCTGCAGGAAAACCAAACACTTTAACCACAACCTGTGCTAGTTTGGACAGCGGGGTGAAAGGTCACTCGTCAGGACTGCGGACTGTCATGTGCGAGTAAATAATAATTGGTCTTCATACCTTTGCAGTGCAGTAGGACGTGTTGATTAGTGGGGCTAAAAATAGCACTGAAGAATGTGCAGTGAGCTTTATTCAGCTCACAGGTCAGACATCGCCGTGGAAACAAGCCTACTGTGGACACACTGCACACAGAACGGACCAATCAGAGGCCCGGCTTCCTGTCGAACTTATCTGAACTCACATTACTATTACACACGACCGTCGTCAAAGGGACGCTCATTAGTTTTTCTCGATTGCTAACACACTATAACTGATTCATCATTCATACAGTTCTCGAAACAAAGACATGTTTCTCAAAACTTTTAACACATTTCAACTGTTTGCACACACGTTCCAATTTGCTCAGTGTTTTCTGCAAAACTCTACACAAAAACGCCATCATTTTGCACAGGTTTAACCATGTTCTCATTTAGAAAACACAAACACACAATATAACTACCTCAAGAATCACAAAATGAACACACATAGTACACATTTATCGATGTGTAATAATTAAGTAGCAAAACTGATGACACACAGGTCAGAATCTCTGGATGATATGAACAAGAGCACAGCTGATTATG